CCACCCAAACAATACCAGACCCTTTAGGTGTGGTAGGAAAGTTAGGAGTGACCCCATTAAAAAAAGAAAAGAAAAAAAAAAGTGGGCCCCCCCCCCAAAAGTCATACCAGACCCTTAAGATCTGTTATGAATTTTAGGAGGGACTTCATAAAAAAAAAAAAAAAGTGCGTGGGGTTCCCCCTCAAAGTCATACCAGGCCCTTAAAGTCTGGTAGGAATTTTAAGGAGGAACCACACCCCCAAAAATAGGGAAAAAAAGATGTGGGGTCCCCCCTAAAATTCCAAACCAGACTTCCGTGCTGATGGGGACAAGGGCCGCTTCCCCACAAGCCTTGGGGCGTTGGTTGTGGGGGTGCGGGCATGGAGGCTTATTCACATTGAGGTACCCCTTTAATAAAGGGGCACCCAGATGCGCCCACCTCCCTTGTGAATGAGTAAGGCATACTTGTACCCCTACCCATTCACTAAAGGGTTAAATATAAGATAAATAAAAACTTTTAGGGAAAATCCTTTAATTTAAATAAAAATGCAACAAAGGATTTTGGCAATTCCTTTATTGTAACCCCCCCCCCAAAAAAAAATGGATCCACCGATGTAATCCAGGGTCAATCTTGACATCCAGCGTTGTTCAAAATGACGACAACTCAACGAAATAAAAAATAAAACAAGAAAAAAGAAATAGAAGTAATTACAAAAAAAACAACGCCTGCCGACCCCTCCGTTCGCAACGAACTCCCGCCCCATGGCATTCTGACCGATGCCCGCAAAATATAAATATAAACTGTTTACATTTGTACGCACCTGACAGGTGAGCCATGATTGGGCAAAGTCATCATTACTTTGCCCAATCATGGCTCTTCAGTGCACTGATGCCATTAGTGCCAGGAAAGAAGGTGCAAAAGTTGGGTGACTGGAGAGGTGATAAACAAGTTATCAGGATTGTGGGAATGAAATACAATGGATTTTCTAGTGTCTTCCCTTAAAGTGACATTAAACCCTCAGATTTGTTTACATAAACCAATACTGTAATGTGTGCCTTACTGTAATCCATTGTTGTTTCCCTTCTCTTTGCTGCTCTTCCTTTTAAATCCTCATGTCTTCTCATGCTTGGGGAGAACTTCCCTTTTCAGCTAAGGGCCTCTTCCTGTAGTGCTGGCTCAGGTTACAAACCTATACACAGACACCATGTATCCATTCCAGAGACAAGGTAGTCTGCTGCAAAACAGAAGTTCTGCAGAGCATGAGAACAGATACAGATTTAAAAGGAAGAGCAGCAAAGAGAAGGGAAACAACCATGGATTACAGTAAAGGCACACATTGCAGTATTGTTTTATGAGGGTTTAATGTCACTTTAATGTACAGATTTGAAAGAAGTCTACTGCTGCAGTCAACAGCTCCCTTATATCCAATAGGAATTGGGGAAGCGATTATAACTCCCGTAGCGGTATATTCAATGTTTGCTTTTCCTTAAAGGAGAACTATGGGGCTAAGGCTTTTCCCCATAGTTCTCCTTAGGGTAACGAGAGGACACAAACTAGCGTAAATTGCGGTATACTGAGACGCCGCAGTATACTGCGAGCTGCTGCTCGCGGTATACTGAGACGCCGCACCTGAAGCGGATCCCGACAATTGTGCCGGGATCCGCCCAGCTGCGTGACTGACAGCTGGCTCTGCCTATCTAGAGGCAGAACCAGCTGTACCCGCCCCCTCCCCCTCCCGTTCCGCCAGTCAGCGCTGGTGGATCGGAGCGGGGAGGGGGGAATCCAGCCCCTCCCCTGTCACGGCAGAGAGCCGTGACAGGATCGAGAGGTGAGCGAACGCCGGTATGTGTTCGCTCACCTCCCGATCTACTGAGCCGACCTGTGACAGTCTCATTGTCACAGGTCGGCTAGAACTATGAGGTGAGTGAAAAGCACTCACCTCATAGTTCTCCTTTAATTGTGTTATGTATACTGGTATACAGTATATGGGTTCTTCAGAAATCCTGGTGTAGAAATAGTGTGGTTTGCTTCATATTAACCATAATGTTTGTTGGACAGGAAGTATGTTTGGACAGGAAGTATGTGACAGAACGAACTGTTATCTTTACAAAGTGTCTCTTACTAATACAATAAAAAAAAATATGGAGTTGTACGTTCTGCACCATAACCCAATATCTATTGGGTTATTGAATTGAAACACTTCTATTAAAATTAAAGCTGAACTCCATTATAAGCAGATATTGTCTAAATACTGGAAATATGTGTTTTCCTACTTGAATCTTAGGGGTTCATTTATAAAAGTTCAGCCCATGGTGTAGCCGTTTGCACGGCACTAGTGCCTTAGATGGCACTGACTAGTATAGGAAATTCTTATAAATCTTTCACCCAGCCATATGCTGGTTAAATGCCATTCGTGCAGCATTCCCTCCAGTAGATGGAGCTAAGGAGCATAGGAAAATTCCTATGCTTCTTTGCACCATCTAGTGTCGGAAATACATCTAGTGCAAACCCAGTTCTTCTGAATTCACACAAGCCCGCTCACAACTGTGACTGCCACCCCCTCCTCCCGAGCCAGTCGATGGTGGCAGTTGTGGTGGGGGCACCACCTCTGTGATGTGTAGCTGCGGGGCGGGCAATACGCATGCTACAACTGATTGGGTCAGGAGGAGGGGTTGTTGGTCACAGTTTTGAGGTGGTTTGGATCAGTGGCGTTACAAGGGGGGTGCAGCCGGCACCCGGGTGTCACCATTGCAGGGGTGACCCCAAAATGGACCAAGAGCCCGACAGTGTCAGGAGAGAGGAGGGGACCCGGCGGGATGAGGTATGAACATCCCCTCCTCTCTCTGCCGGAGTCCATCGCGAAGATGGCCGCCAGCAGGCATCAAGCAGATGGTCGCGCATGCGCGAGGTGACGCCACGGCACAATGACGGCACGGCAGGGTGTCACCCGGTCTAGGGACCAGGTGACACCCGGCCTCTGGAAGCCCATGGCTTGGATGAACTCAGGTAAACTGGGTTCAGACCAAACCCAGGCTCATCACTACTTCAGGGTAAGGGACACAAGTGATGCTTTCCTGCCCTCCCACAATTTTGTACTTGAATGGCCAATCATAAGGTCCGAGCACAGTCACATGGGGTGCTTGCATTGGATTATTAACCTTTTTGGGAAAAAAAACAACCTTTTGATCTCTTTACTAATAAAGTGAATGACAAACACATTTATTTATTCTGTGTTAAAGGATTAGAACCCATCAGGTTTTTACTGCTATCCACGGCTCTGTTAGAGAGATTTACCATCACTTCCTATCAGACAGGAAGTGGAGAAATACAGAAAAAAGCCCAGAAATAACAATTAGTATGGATGCAACGATACTAGTATCGGTGCCGAGTATTTGGGAAAGTACTCGTATTCGCCCAAATACTCCGATGCCTAGGCCGATACTACCGGCATCCTGATTGGCTGGGAAGCCGGCTCCATGCTCTTACCGGCCAATCAGGAAGCCGGGCAGCGTGTAATGACGCCACGCCCGGCTTCCTGATTGGCCAGCTTTTGACCAATCAGGAAGCCGTGTAATGACGCTGGCTCCATGCTTTCTTGTCACCTAGTGATGCGAAGCATGGGGACGGCTTCCCTGCTAATAGGGAAGCCAGGTGGCGAGACTTTACACCCTGTCTAGCTAATCAGGAAGCCAGGTGGCGAGTCATTACACGCTGCCTGGCTTCCTGAATGGGACTCCCGGTACTCAGTATCGGCGAGTATAAAAAAAAAAAATATTGGTACTCGATACCGAAATACCGGTAACGGTGCATCCCTAACAATTAGGGATTCTAGCCATCTCCTACTTTATTATTATTATTATTATTACATAGTATTTATATAGCGCCTTTTAACAGTTTTATATAGCGCCTTATAACAGTTTGGGGAGCGCTTTACAATGTAAGGAAGACATTACAGTTACAATACAATTCAAGACAGGATGGTAAGGAGGGCCCTGCCCCTGAGGGCTTACAATCTGAAAGAGGAGGGGGAAATGATACATGAGGAGGTAGCTGTGTGGGGATGAATTGTTTGAGAATGTGATTTACTAAAGAAAAACATTTATATTATTGGACTTCCTCTTTTGTAAAATATTGACAGCAGTACAGGAAGTGAGGGGAAATCTCTCTAACGGAACCCCAGAAAGCAGTTAAAAAAAAAAACCTGGCGGGGGATCCTAACCCCTGCCCACTCTATCCAAAACGAAGAAAAAAGTTTTGGCAGGCCGTACACTAAAAAAAAAAAAAAAGCTTTGTCCGCTTTAAGCAGGTTTTACATTCTCATACAAGTCTTCGGGAATGTAAATTTCCCTTAAAGCGTGCAAATGCAGGTCAGGAGGTCAACTGCAGGTCAATACTTTTTACTCCCTTTTCATGCTTGTCCTGGTGAAACAACGCTCATGTATGTGAATTTCCATGCGTCCAGTATATGGCAGCCAATTTATTTAAATTACACATTCATACCATAGAAGTCCCTGAACCTTGTCTTTCTAAACACATGTCACTTTGTTTTGAGCATGTAAAAGTGCACGATGCAGCAAGATACCGTTAACAACGAATGGCACTGCCATTAATGCAAAGCGGTGCGTTTTGGCACGCTGTTGCAAGTGCAAAGCATGTTTTGGTGCATGTTGCAGCACAGGGGCCTTAACGTCTGGAACTGATGATGTCCACAAAGGCCCTAATTGCCAACAAATCCCATTTTTACTTGCCAGAATTTGTTTTAGTACAGGTCCACTTTAAATAGTTCATTCATCTATAGCATCATAAAAAAAGAGACAGCAGGGGAGGAGAAAGGAGCTGTCCCTTTAAATGTGGGAATATACACAGCAGGCCGGATGACAGCAGTGCTAACACCACTATCACAATAATCCGGAGCCCCCCCCCCGCCCCGATCATGTGCTGGGACTGGATCCCCCGTGCAGGAGGAGGTGATCATGTCTGACGTGTGACTCTGCTTCCTGCCGTGATGTCTATGCCCTCCCTCAGCATCCAAGAAGCCAGCGGAAGTCAACATGTCGAGTCTACACAAGAACAAGTAAGACAGTGCGGGTGCACTGGGGCTGATTTCCGGGGTGCAGGGCACGCAGGGGGGCATGGATCGGTGCAGGGCAGACAGGGGTACATGGATTGGTGCATGGTGACAGCTCGTTTTATATACATCGCCGTCAGTGCTGGGAGTGTCTAATTGACAGTTGTACTAAAACATATGTATCCATCCTCATCCTATCAGTGTCTCTATAGATCTGTCTGGAGGCTGATCACATGTCATGTATATATTATCAGTGAACCTGCCAGGATCCTAAAAAAAACCTACAGACCCTGCCATGATCCTTAAAAACCCTACAGACCCTGCCATGATCCCACGGACACTGCCATGATCCTAAAAACCCTACAGACCCTGCTATGATACTGCGGAGCCTGCCATGATCCCACAGACCCTGCCATGATCCTAAAAACCCCACAGACCCTGCCATGATCCCACAGACCCTGCCATGATCCTAAAAACCCTGCCATGATCCTAAAAACCCTGTAGACCCTGCCATTATCCTAAAAACCCTACAGACCCTGCCATGATCCCGCGGACCCTGCCATAATGCTAAAAAACCTTACAGACCCTGGCATGATGCCGCGGAGCTTGCCATGATCCCGCGGACACTGCCATGGTCCTAAAAACCCCACAGGCCCTGCCACGATCCCGCAGACCTGCCATGATCCTTACCCTACAGACCCTGCCATGATCCCACGGACCCTGCCATGATCTTAAAAACCCCACAGACCCTGCCACCATCCCGCAGACCCAGCCATGATCCTAAAAACCCTACAGACCCTGCCACGATCCCGCAGACCCAGCCATGATCCTAAAAACCCTATTAACCCTGCCATGATACCATGGAGCCTGCCATGATCCCGCGGACCCTGCCATGATCCTAAAAACCCTACAGACCCTGCCATGATCCCACGGACCCTGCCATGATCTTAAAAACCCCACAGACCCTGCCACCATCCCGCAGACCCAGCCATGATCCTAAAAACCCTACAGACCCTGCCACGATCCCGCAGACCCAGCCATGATCCTAAAAACCCTATTAACCCTGCCATGATACCATGGAGCCTGCCATGATCCCGCGGACCCTGCCATGATCCTAAAAACCCTACAGACCCTGCCATGATCCCACGGACCCTGCCATGATCCTAAAAACCCTATTAACCTTGCCATAATCTCACAGACCCTGCCATGATCCTAAAAACCCTACAGACCCTGCCATGATCCCGCGGACCCTACCATGATCCTAAAAACCCTACAGACCCTGCCATGATCCCGCGGACCCTACCATGATCCTAAAAACCCTACAGACCCTGCCATGATCCCACAGACCCTGCCATGATCCTAAAAACCCTACAGACTCTGGCATAATACCATGGAGCCTGCCATGATCTTAAAAACCCCGCAGACCCAGCCACGATCCCTTAGACCCAGTCATGATCCTAAGCACTCTGCAGACCCTGCCATGATCCAACAGACCCAGCCATGCATTAGAAAATACCATTTGCATGTATAACTAGAACTTTTACACTGTGGTTATAACACACACAGACCATCGCTTTGTCTTTTGCATGCCACTCCCTGCCCATTTTATTGAGGTTGCTGTGATGTTTAGGTATCAAAGTGGGTCACAACAGTGGATTTTTTTTGCTTGGAGTTCTGCTTTAAGGCCTGGTTCACACCTAGGAATTTTACACCTAGGAATTTTTGAGCAGTTGGAAAAGTGTTTTTAAATGCCCAACACAAGAAATCCCATGATTTTCAATGGAGCTGTTTTCACACCTGAGCAGCAAAACGCCAGCATGAAAAAGCCAAACACCCGAAAAGGTACATGAGCTTCTTTGGGCAGTTAAAAGTGCGCTTTGTCCCCGTAGACTTCAGTTGAAATGGCCAAAAACGTGCGGCAGAAGCTTAAACGGCGCCGCCTAGGTGTGAACCAGGCCTTGAGGACTGTTTAATGCTTATGCTTTGCAGTAGTTGCACTCTGAAGTGTGTTTTTGTGCCATTCATTTAGAAGTACAAGTATAGTAGGTCCAAACAGACCTGCACTGCAGAACACCGCAACACACGTACCTTGCTTTGCATTGCGCTGTGTTAAGTGAATAATATTATTATTATACAGGATTTATATAGCGCCAGCAGTTTGCGCAGCGCTTTACAATATAATGAAGACATTACAATCACAATGCAATTCAAGACAAGATGGTAAGGAGGGCCCTGCCCCTGAGTGCTTACAATCTAAAAGGGAGGGAGAGGTGATACATGAGGAGGTAGAATAATGCAGGACTGCCTTCTTCTCCTTGTTTTGTGTTAGCAGCCCATTCAAAGTGAACACAACAGTGTTAAGGGGGCCTAAAGGGTAACCCATTGCATCCCCTCAAATTTGTAGTGCCCATTCACACTAGCCACAACTAATCGAGGCAGTATAATATAGCACAGAGCCAGAGGCTGCTGAACTTACAGTATATGTTTAGACTTTTTGTTGTTTTATTTGAGCTTGGTGTAAATATACATATCAATGCATTTTAGGCCTCATTCACACGAGAAACAGCCAGCATGTACAGCTCCGTGAGCGTGCACGGCCGTACCGGGCAGCTCCCGGGAAGGACAGGTGCTGTGTGTGATTAGTACGCAGCCCCCGTCCTTCTCTATGGGACTACGCGGCCGTACACCGCCCTACGCTCACCCGCCCTGCGCGTCCCTGCGGGTGTCCGTACTCGTACGCTGACAGGATGCATCCTGTCTGCGTCCGAGCCGGGACACCCGCACCCGTACGGACCTGCACTTGGGTTGAGCGTAGGGTGGCGTACGGCCGCGTAGTCCCATAGAGAAGGATAGAGGCTGCGTACTAATCACACACAGCACCTGTCCTTCCCGGGAGCTGACCGATACGGCCGTGCACGCACCACGGAGCTGTATGTGCCAGCCGTTTCTCGTATGAATGAAGGCATAAACTGCATAGATCATTTTAAAGTGGTGTAAACAAAGCAACTTTAAGCAAGGGAATGAGGTCATGCTACTTAACAGTTCACAGATGATCCACGAAGTTGAAGCCCTAGGGTGCGTATTAAAAAAAACAAGGTGGAGTACTAATCACTTTCCCTTTAAGCAGTAAAGTTTAGTTTATGCCGTCAAAGTGAAGTGTGTCTTCAGTGAGTATATATGTTCAGTTATTTTTGCAGTGTTTACCTTTAAAGCAGAACTCCAACTTTGTTACAAAAAAAATAATTATTCAGCATCTGTTGAAAATGGGTGCTCTGTGATGCCATTCATTTTATAAGTCACATCTGACAGACCTGCATTACAGCACATCTCAATGTAGGGTAACTGTGCATTGTGGTGAGTTGTGCTGGCAAAATGGGCACAGGTCCAACTTTGGGTCCAAGGTGGTGCATTAGTAGCCCATTTAAATTAGTAGGCTGTCTTAAAGGGGAACTTCAACCCGATGACAACAAAGGCACCTTTAGAAATGTTTAGTAATGGCAATCGAAAAAACAGATTCTTACAGATAATTGACGGCTTTTTATTCTTTACATACCTTATTTTTCTTTTGTTTCCCCATTCTTCTCACCGTGGCCATATTCACTAAGCAAAGATGAATCCTTCTTCCTTTACATCCTAGAACTTTTTGTCTCCCTTCTGGAACATGTGACATTCAACATCATCTAAGGGGGAAAAAGATGCCTTTGCCCGAGATCTTGTGATATTTTGCAGTTTACAGATGAGATTTCCCAGGAAGGCACTATTGATGTAGCCAGGACTACATCACCAGTGCCTCACTCAACCAGGAAGTGGGAAAAACAGTAATTGTTAGCGGTGCACCGAAATGAAAATGTCAAAATCGAAACTGAAATAAAAAAAAATGTCAGACCGAAACTGAAAATTGCTTTTTATTTTAACTTTTTCAAAAAAATTTAAATATTTTATTTTTACTTTTTAATAAACTTTTTTTAATTTTTTATATTTTCATTTATTCATTTTTTTGTATTAAATATTTTTTACTTTACTTTTAGGGGCTTCTGGGAAATATTAGGGGTCTAAACAGACCCCTGATATTTCCCTTTTTTGAAATAGAAAAAGAGATTGAGAACACAGAGTCCTCAATCTCTTTTTCTGCAGCCCCTGTCATAAATGAACAGGAATCCTCTGAGTGTTCCTGTTCATTGAAACATGAGGACAGAGTATGTTTACTATAACCACAATTATGAATGAACAGGAGGTGATGTAGATCACTTCCCATTCATTCATAATTGAGGATATAGTTAACATACAGTGTCCTCAATTATTTACAAACACTCAGCGATCACTGACTGCTTGTACCTGCTCTCCATCCTGACAGGCTGTCACAGGAGGCTGAGCGAGCGGAGCTCAGCTTGCTATGACAACACTGTCTGTCTCCGCCCACACACCGCTCTGCCGATCTGTGACAGGAGGCTGAGCGGTGTGGGAGGAGAGACGCCGGCCGCTCACAGAGCTCTCCTCCCGCAGCGTTCGGCCGCCTGTGACAGTTTCTCTCCTTCCCGCTGGGACACAGAGCAGCGCCCAGCGGGGAGGAGAGAAAGAACGGCCAGAAAAAGGCACTTTCGGCATTATGCCAAAAGTGCCATTTTCGGCCGATACATCGGTGCATCCCTAGTAATTGTAATTAAAATAAAACATTTTTTTAACTATTAAATGCTACTTGATTTCATATCAGTATGCAGAGCTGTGATTTTATTTTAATTTTTTTAGTGAAAGGGGTAAAGGTCCACTTTAACCCAACACATGTTGACACATGATACAATGCACGTTAACGCACTGCTTTGGATGGCACAGGCGTGGTGGCCCTCAAAGTTCTTTTTTATTCAAGAATGTTATAAACAAGGGGAAGGCCATAACAATTGCCATTGAATGTTGAACTATGTGCAGTCATATAGTAATACAGCAGGTAATTTATTAGAAACTGCAAATAAGTATTAGTTTGTTGTGCTTTTAGGTGCCCACATTTAAAACAGCAGGGGGATACACTTAAGCCCATTAAATAAGATTGGTGTGTTTTATATCAGGGGTGCACAATTTTTTTTTTAATGGAATTCGGGAGCCAGCAGGATTTTGTAGGAGCCATCCTCACTGACAGCAACTAGAGAAAACTTTAAACGTTAGGTGCCATCAGTCATTTATAAGGAGCATTGGCTACCTAACTCCTGGGATTTGTCCAGCCCTGGTTTATATTTTTACAAGCTTGTTCTTTCATAATTTTAGAGTAAATGTAGAGGTTTGTAGATAGAGGGGGCTCTTGGTGGTTTATCTCAATTAGTCTCTCAACAGCTGTTGAGATGAGATCTATAGTGTGATATGTGTGTTGAGTGAAGCTGCCCATACACCTTGCGATCATCGTACGGAACTTTTCGTCTGGTGATCGAACCGTCGTACGATTTGCGTACTGCGGCCCCATCCTGCCCCGATTATCGCAAGGTTCAATCAGCAGTAATAAAAATGTTTTTTTAAAAAGCAGCTGGACTAATTGCGGTAATCGACCGCACGTATTTTCGTCTGTGCATGTGCAGTGTAAATCGTACTAATTTTGACATACGGAAACTCCACCAACCTTGCTAAAAGCGTACGATTGACCGAAGTTTTCTAACCTGCTGGTTTGTCAAAAGTCGATCGATTGTACAGTATTTGCGGTTGTACACTGCCCATCAACCTTACGAATATCGGACGAAAACGCGATTGCATACGAAAATCGGCCGATATTCGTTAGGTGTATGGGCAGCTTGAGTCATAGACTTGCATTGTGAGAAAGAGCAGTAAACTGTGTAGTACTGCAAAGCAGAAGCAGAGACTACCAATGTTATCAGCAAATATGACTGCTTCCCATGTAGGTATATAATTACAACTTAGATGCTGAAACTTGAGAACATTAAAGAGCAATGCTAACATTTATACATCAGTTGATCTCTTTGAAATATGTATTGATAAATACCTGAAAAGACTATGCACCCTCTTTAAGCCCCCATTCACACTTGAGTGCAAGCATCTTCAGGTGATCCTTTTTTTTTTTTTCCCCTCCAACCCATGGTCTAAATGAAAAACGAAAACGGATTCTTCCATCAATGTTTTGACGGACGAATCTCTTGCTGTTTCTATTGTATGCTGACATTCTGACTGGCCGCTGTCAGAATGCCCGAATGGAGATAGCAGCTGATGGGCTACTAACTTCGCTTGTCCTTGAATTTCCGACCGGGTCCCTCAGTCAGCTGATCAAGGGATGCTGGGCGAAAAGGTGCTGACTACATCAGGAACTGGCCAAAATTCGAACCATGTGTACCCAGCTTAATTCTTGAGCGATTTTGTTTTACCCAATGGAAAGCTAGTTACTGTGAGGCAGAGATAGTTGAGTGTGAAATTGTTTGAAAAACACACTTTGGGGGTGATTTACTAACCTAAACACACACACACAACAGGTGCGTGTGATTTTCACACAGCAAAACGTATTTATCAACCAAAAAGTCTCTAAAAGCATATTTCCACTAATGCCATATATGGAAAAATCATGCAAATGATGCATATATAATGCTGCTTCACAGTTTAGACAAAAATGGTTAGCTCATGCATTTACATTCCTGCATTCATCAACGCAAGCAACATAACATAGAGCTAATTTACACCACATTACCTTGCAATTCATTGCAGGGCTTTGCACAACACACCTGCTGGGTGTGTATACACTACAAAGGTGTTTCGATTCCTCCCATAGATCATGCTGGGAGGGAACACACTACAGAGGTGTATACACGTTCGTGGTGTGCTTAAAAGGTTAGTAAATCAACCCCTTTACGTTCATTTTTCAGGTGCACCCGTTGAAGTCTATGCGGCCAAAAACACATGATTCTGCCCAAGAAATAGCTTCGGTACTATTTTAAGCTCCAAGCGACTCAGCGCTCAGGTGTAAATGTTGAGTGTTGAAAATAATTGGATTCTTCATAATGAGCATTGAAGCGTTTCGGGAAAACGGGCCAAAATGCTCAGGTGTCAATGGCACCATTAATCATGGGGTTCTTCATGTTGAGCATGGGCGTGCATCGGAAAACATGCGACAAAGCGCTCAGATGGGTATACACGGGTGGAACGAAAAAAAAAATGAATAGATATGAGTGTTGAAGGACAAATCCCCTGCTGTTTTCTTTGTATTCTGACAGCGGCCATCGGGCTGCTTGATCTATTCGGCTGATAATTTTCCAATATGCTCCTTTGATCACCTGATCGTGGGATACCTGGCAGAAGGGTGCTGACGATGGCACCCATGAAGCATCTATCCCACCCCAACCTAACCTCCGAACCATCACGTTCTCAAACAATTCATCCCACACAGCTACCTCCTCATGGATCACTTCCTCCTCCCTTTTAGATTGTAAGCCCTCACGGGCAGGGCCCTCCTTTACCATCTTGTCTTGAATTGTACTGTGATTGCAATGTCTTCCTTATATTGTAAAGCGCTGCGCAAACTGTTGGCGCTATATAAATCCTGTATTATAATAATAATAATAATAATAATCTATGGCCTACTTTAGACATGAGACTTTCAAAATTATTAGTTTGCTTACAAACCCCAAACAAAAGAGATTTAGTCCTCATTGTAGGAATTATGGACAGAAATGTGGATACTATTATACACCTCAGTTGTGCACCCACTTTGTGGATTTGCAGCATGACGCCAAGAAGTACATTGCCAGTTATTTAGCTGTTTCATGTTTGTTCGCTCCCATGTGCATGACACATAACAATGATATCTGTGATTGTATTTCAAAGGAAACTCCCTGATAAAATGCTGCCCTGTTTGCAGAACTTGATCTCACTCTTGAAGGATCCTGTACAGTAGGCGATGTGTACTAATCAGGTGACGTTTTTTGTCTGTTTGCAGAATTGCAGAGTTCCAGGGCATTCTCAGTGAACCGCACATCAAACTGCTTGTGTTGAGGGAACTTTGCTTTAACGGTAAAGACGTCTTGCCTCATCAGGATTCATAGACTGCTGAACTTTAGCTTGTTCTTAGAGCCTTTTTTTTCCCCACAATGTTTGCAAACCCTAAATGGTTTCACATTTACTTAAGATAGATTTACATAGGAGATAATTAACTGTTGAAAAAAACAAGGTGGATAAAATATGCAAATCTCTTGGGCAAGGTGGCCAAGGACAGAACAGTGAATGGAGGACAGTCTGAAGTGCATTCACAATGTGACCATCTTTTGATGTCCTTTTGGTCAGTTTGTCTCCTAAACACCAGCACTGCAGTCACACAAGCTCTATTACTTTGGGCAGTGAAGAAGGAGAAGCCTCGAGTACCCAGTACTGGTGCCAGAGAAATTATCGATTGGGTACATCCTGCTTATCCTTAACATATACTTTTAGCAATGTTTTATAGTGATGAAAGTGTATCTAATGTCCCCCAAAAAATCTTTATAGTTTTGTATAGAGTATGCTATTGTAAAACCCCTGTTTATTTTCATTTTCTGTCTCTGTCACATTAGGGAGAATTCTTTTCGTTCCTGCCCAAGAGACAGCATTGGAGTGAGAAGAGATCTCCCCAAAGTCAGTGTTGTCACCTGAAGAAGTGTATGCATTGGAAGATTGGCCTTCACCTCCTGTTCTAATGACAGCTGTAAAATGTTGGATTTCCCTTGTTCTGTTTTAGGGACAATGGTCATCATGATAGATGGAGAGTGTGAGTCTATCCAGCAAGGGTAGATTATCTGTTTGTCCTGGTGACCTTTTGATAGCGGGACAGAAAGTGATGGAAAATCCCAAATGTTACAGTTGTCAACCAGAGCAGGAAGTAAAGAAAATCTTCCAGTGGGGACCACTGCTCCTGTAACATCTGTCTAAGACCCCATTCACACTGAGCGATTTGTCGCACTATTTCAGCGTGCCCAATAGGGCTGCAACAACTAATCGACATAATCGATTATAATCGATTATTTAAAAAGTTGTCAACTTTTTCAATAATCGATTAATCGGCTTCCGATCAGTTGGCCCTGTTCACGGCTCCACACACGCTGCGCGCCGCACCTCCTCCCCAACTCACGCTCACCGCTGCCAGACCCGCCCGCATCAACTATCTACACGCCACACCTCCTTCCCACCTCACACTCACCACCCGTCCACATCCACGATCGGCACAGGGACGCGGGGAGATGTAAGAGGAGGAGGTGTGGGGGGATGACAGCCGCCGACAGACAGGCCCGATCTCAGAGGCAAGTTGCTGGAAGACTGCTCAGGTAAGCCTGCACTTTCCCACACATGGTGCTCTATAATGTATTGCTGGGAT